CTTTTCACCCCTCAAAGGTCATTTTCTTTAAAGGTTTCAAAATGAGGATTCCCTCAACCACTCACTTAATTATTATTATTTTTTTGTTTACTAAAAAGAAAACCATACCTTCTGGTGTGTCTTAAACATACTAGTAATGGCATGCATTCCCCCCACTTGATTTGTATTTATAGTGTGTTGTGGGGGGGAGGTTGTTTTAACAGTAGTCTGTTAGAGCAAACATCTGTCCTTTGTGAGTACCCTGATCTTTATAACTGCAAATAAATAAAACTTGTAATATTCAGTGTAACTAATTTTTGAGCTCTAAAAGCTTGATAGTGTTTCTTTAGGAAAAAATAAAAACTGCAAAATTCACTGAAAACAATGGGACTTTCATCTGTTGGGCACAACTTAAATTTGTGTTAATTCATCTCAATCTGTGTTTTATCAATTAATTATGCAAGTTAATTCTTTATCTTTCTGGAAATTGCAACTTGACTATAGATGAAGTGATTTCTGTTCTTAATTGTCATGTTTTATTCGTTGACTTCCTCACCTTTACCTGCTCTTTTTCAGATCTTCCTTATTTCCTTGGTACAATGTAGGTATTATTAACACAAGTTAGAATCTATTGGATCTAATCTATCCCTTTTGATTTTATTATGAGATGATTATTGCTGTGTATCTTGAGAAATCTGCTACTGCTTTGATGTGCAATAGTGATTTTTCTAAGGTATGTAGTTATGAATGCCAACATACCCCAAGTAAACATCAATTTCTAATTCATAACTAGAAATCTGTACATAGTTTTACCTTATTTTTAGTGCAGATAATTAATATGTGATCACCATTTCAGTGTGGTAGACTATGACAGTAATAGTAAACTGGATTTGGAGGTCCATTGGTAGAGAGAGGCTGCCTGTAAGATTATCAGCAGAAAGAAGCTGACAGTTCCCTTGCCCCATACTATTTTGCACTGAAAGTCTTTCATCATCTCCTCTCCAGTCCATCCCTTAGAAAGATTAAAAGATTATACAGCAGCATCTTTGGACCTCTGTTCACAGACGGCAGTCTTTTAAAGAACTGACCTTTCATGATGGAAAACTGAACTGAAGTAGTGGGAACTGGCAACACAAAATAACTTCAACATGGAAGATTGATTTGTTGATTTCTGCTGACCCATTTCCTCTTGTGCTGAGTGCATCCTGCTTCCCAAAGTCCTTTGTTACCTTTATCCTTAGAGAGTTCATCGTTCCCTTCCCAACAGAACTGCCAAGAGGAATTTCAAAACTGTGTTGCATTCAGTTTTTCCCCAGGACTTGATCACTGTTCTAATTGATTGCTTAACTGATGATTTGCTTCTTAAAGAAGGACTAGATCAAGAAGAATTTTCACAATTTGTGTACTGATTACAAAAAGTCTATAATGACTTAGTTTTAGTGTGTTTTCTGATGCAGTGTGTCTTGCATAGCATCATCTTTGTCGTTTCTGCTTTGGAAAATACAATTTATTTTCTCCCCAAGATTTTAATTGAGAGAACTTTGAAAGAGATTAACAATTATTGTGGTGCCTTTTTAACCCCTGATTTTAGTTTAAGGTTCCCCAGCATTGTAATTTGTAGTAAGTTTAGATAAGCTATGTAACATGTTCTGGGGTGAGCTGTGCTATATGCCATTAGGCTTAAGCCTAGGAACCCTTTTTTGAGTTAATTTTCCTTTAGACAGACCTAGTGAGTGTCAATATATATAGGCGCCGACTTCCTCTCTACCAGGGGGGTGCTCGACCCCCCTCCGCCGCAGGCCCGCCCTCACTCCACCACTTCCTCCAAGTCCCCACCCATGCCCCACCTCTTCCTGACCCCACTCCACCCCCAGCATCTTCTGCCGCCCATGCCTGGTATCCTGGCTGCTGGCCCCTTGCCCAGAGTCCCGGCTGCCGGCCGGCGTGTGGGGCTGGCGGCCGGGACCCCATATAAAACTTGAGGGTGCTGCAGCACCCCCTGCACTCCTAGTTCCTCGCCTATGTCAGCTCCTTGATGGTTAACCGTTTAACCAATAGAATTTTAATAGGTTACATGGTTACTATTTTTAAACCCTATTTATATCCCTACTGCCGGTGGGTGCTAAGCACCTGCTAATTTTTTTCTGTGGGTGCTCCAGGGCTGGAGCATCTGTGGAGTTGGCACCTATGCTAATATAGACCCATACCCCTACCTTCCCATCTACTATAAAACAGATACACAATTTATATAAAAATAGATACACACGTTTATGTATATAACATCATGGGTTTTATTGATGCAATATGCAAGTTGCAAAGAAATGTAATGAATTATAAAAAGTTTTGAAACAGATTACAGGCTAGAACTAAGCATTATATATGTTGTGGAAATAACACTGAAATACACCTAAATACAATAGATACCAACTACCCCATCTGAACCATAGCTTATGTTTTGGAAGAGATTGTTAGTGCCCATCTCAGAGAAGACTGGGTTCTAGGATCCCTCAAACACACTGTAGTTAGGCCACTACTAAAAAAGAAAATTCTGAACTCCAATCAGCCACCTCCCAGTCTGACTCTTGAAGTTCCTTTTTTTGTGAAAGATCATCAAGAAAATGGCAACATGAAAACATGACAGATATCTAGCTTCTGAAGCCCCTGGCCTTATTTGGTGACATTTCAGACGAAGTGGTACTAATGGAAGTTGTTGATCTTCTTGTGCAATGGGCAGAGGCCAGATACCTTTATTGATATCCCTTGACTTGTTATCAGATTTCAGCACTTGCTGACACAGCTGTGTAACTTTATCAAGATGGCTGGAATAGCTTTAAAATGGTGTTTTGCTCATTGCTTCTGATAGTTTTTTAGAAGGTGGTGATGGTTGACTGCTCCATCCCAAAGGTTCTTATTTGTGGAGATTTGCAAGACTCCAATCTGTCATATCTTCTGTTCAACATTTATACAGAGCCTCTGGGAATGCGTTGTGTGGAATTAGAACATGATATAAATTGCAGTATCATTAGTACACTGCTGACGCCTATTTGGCATCTTCTCCTTTGACTCAGACATGGGTGTTGCAGAGCTCACTAAATGCCTAGCAAATCTGAGATCTGGAATAAAACCAACTATCTGCAACTCAGCTTGTCCATGACAGGGGTTATTCTATGTAGCAAGGAGGTTGAGGATCTGATGGAATCTATAATTGCTCCATAAGTGCTACACATACAGGAAGAAATTGCAGAGGGTATTGAGCTTTGCCATGTCAGATTTATATATTTTAGTGCAGAATGTCAGCCATATGGCTGATTACGTATTCATTGTTTCTACAGCAATCCAATATCTTCACTGCTTTGCTTTTTTTTTTTAAGATTATACCAACAAAAAATAATTAATGTGTAGTGGATTAGGAAGCATCTCTCATTCAGCACTTTAAAATAAAATACAGTTGTGCAATCCTTTAGTCTGTTAATATGAATCTGAGCCTTTAATAATTTGTTCTGCAAGGATTTACTTTTGTAAAATTCACAAATATTTTTAAACATGAAATTAGGCATAGGTATATATAATTTTAATTTAAATCTTTAATTAATGTGCTTTATTCCAAAATAAACCACACTTATCAATTTCCCATGTTTTCCAAGTATTCCTCCACCTGATCAACACTATACCCTGAAGATTAAAAAACAAAAAACATACCAGTGGGCCAAATGTTGGCCCTCCTTTATATTTGTGCATCCCTGTTTAAGAAATGTGACTACGTAAAAGATATGACTTGTATTAAGAGAAGAAAGTGTGATATAGTTGATCTTTTTCAGATTATTAAAACAGTATACATTACAAATGTATGGAGTGTTAACTGTTTCTAGCTGAAAGCTGAATAGAATAAGCTTGTATGCTTTATTTGTAGCATTTCTTTGAAGATCACTAAGTCCATTGTGCTGTGTAAACCTCTTGAGCTAAACTGCAGTTTCTTTTTAAAAAAAAAAAATTGGGGTGGGAGGTAAGGAGGTAGCCTTCCTCAGTTGTTTGGCATCTTTTCTGTTTAATATCAAGGTTCTGTTCTATAATTTTTCTATTATCATCATTAGCCCCATGTGTACATGAAAATCAGATAAACTAAATTTACTACATATTCTTTTGAAATAATGTTTAATAAGGTAACTAACCTGCCACTGTGAATAAAATAGAAACTGTCAAGTGTTTGAGCACATTTATGGTAGTGCTGTTGAGTCCATTTTTATTTCATGTAGTTTTGCTAAGCGATTGATCCAGTAAGACTGGCAAAACAGAGAAAAGCAACAAATATATACGCACTTACTTTATCAGCCAAGAATATTTTTCTACTTTGGGAGAAGGGTGTTCAAATATAAACTATATGTAAAGGGTAGCATATTCTGTTGCTTTGGCAGGATTCTATAACAGAAAAGCTTCATTGACTACTGCAAAATTACAATTGATTTTATTACAGAAAGTGTCAACATGGGAATAAAAATTAATGGGACTGTGAACATTTGTTTGGAAAGTCAGATTTATTCATATGGTGTTGCTGTATGGTACAGCACTTTTTGAAATATAAAGATTAATTCAGATCAAGCAGATAGAAATATCAAGTTTTAGAACTTTCTTCCTTCTTTATAGTGTAAGCTAACTGTGGCTCTGATCCTGTGAGGTGCTTAGCACCCTCAGATTCCAGTGAAGCCGGTGGTACTTGATTTCTGAGCAGCTTGCAGGAGTAGGTCTTATATGTAGGTATGTTTGTACTCTCCTCTAAGTCTTGGAGATCTGGTAAACGTTACTTTTAAAAGTAAAAAATTAAATATAGTGGTACATGCGGTATCCAAGATCTCCACTACTGAATACGCATGAAATTTCTATAAAGGGTTTAATTATTAGATTGAGCACTGTTTTATGAAAACTGTATGGAACACTGCTTTCTTTTGAAATTGCTCTTCAAAAAGAATTCCTATTTCATATAAAAAGATGCCAGACTCACAAAGATTTCCTTTCTTGTTTCATAGACGTTCCATCTTCAGAGCAGCCTGAACTGTTCCTAAAGAAACTTCAGCAGTGCTGTGTAATTTTTGACTTCATGGACACACTATCAGACCTTAAAATGAAAGAATACAAGCGCTCCACTCTTAATGAACTGGTGGACTACATTACAATAAGCAGAGGCTGTTTGACAGAGCAGACTTACCCCGAAGTAGTTAGAATGGTGAGTTTCTTCTTTACGGTGGACACTTTAGATCCACATACAATGCCAGTTACATATTGGGGGCCAAAATGAACCCTGGAATAAGCGGACTAAATGTGGCCTTTGGGTTTGTATTTTCTAGTAAACGTCACCAGAGGATACTACTTTTAAGACCAATAAAACTCAAATTTTCACTTGCAGTTAAGTGAAATCAAATTAGGACATCAAAACATGAGTGTCAAATATGTAGAAAAGTATACCCAGAGCAATTCAAATTTCAGCATTCAGAATATGAAGTAGACACAAACTCATTGTGCTTTTTTTCCTAGTCAAACAGAATGGAATAATTTTAGAATGTTTGTCTTTATTTTTTGTAAGATAAAAGCCATCTTTAAATCTAATAAAATCTCATCACTAAGGAACTTTGTCACTTTTGCCATGTAACTGAGCATTGAAAAGTGATGCATAGGATCAACATTAAAATTGCAGTGCTTTGCTTTGTAGATTCATAGCAACTACAATGAAGAGGTCACCAGGAGTTCTCAATGCTAGTGGTAATCTTATTAATAAATTATCAGCTAACACAAGTGCCTTCAACATCAGCACTGAACGACCACCAGATAGCATGAAGTGAAGAACATTCATTGCAAGCTTTAAGATAGATATTATAAAATCTTACTAAATTGCCTCCTGAAGCAAAAGACAGATATTCAGAAATTGACTTTGTGGTGTTGGTTCTATACTGGTATTATGTGATCATTGAATCTGGTAATAGCCACACACTTATAGAGAACTATGAATAAATTTTACATTGCAGTATGCATCCACCTTATTTTTTTTGTTACACACAAATTATACACAAATACATACCTACTCTAGTGATTGTCTGAATTATGTAGAAGTGTATGTTTTATACCATTGGAATATGTATTTGTGTGTGTGTAATTTGTGTTATGTATATTTCATATATGTGAAAAATACAAAAAAATGCATTAAAAGAATGTTAAGGTTTCATATGGAAACTTAATCCTGGCATTTCCTAACATCTGAGTGCTTGTTTTTGCTACCCTCACATTGTTAATGCACCTTTTTGTGTAATTATAAAAATATATTGCATGGGCAACGTTAATTTGGCCTTCTTATGCATGTGCATTATGTTACAGTCTAGAATTATATGATCACATACTGTTTTTTTCACAGGACCCCTGCCTTATTCAGTACACAGGAAGGATGGTGCTTACTCAGTGAACAGAAGCTATTCAATATCATGTTTTATCCTCATTGTTCCATGTGTGGCCCCATGCCTTATTTACTGTATACTATCCAAACCCCGCTCTGAATATAGAATTATTAATTTTCTCCTGGGGGTTTCTGTGGTGCTCATCCCTGTAGTATCAGAGTGCTTCACAAACATTAATTAATTAATCTTCATAAAATTGCTGAGAGGCCAGGGGGTGGTATTCCCTTTTCAGAAATGACGAACTGAGACAGAGAGATAAAGGTCAAAAGTATCCAGTAATTTTGGATGCCCAAGTCTTGATTTTTTTCAGAGAACTTAACATTTTTTTTATCATTTTTACTTGCTCAGAGCAGAGTTTTCATTGACTTCGGTTGCAGCTGAGAGTGCTCAGCACTTCTGCAAATCAGACAAGTGCAAGTTGGGCATTCAGAAAGTCCGTGATCACTTGTGAAAAGTTTGGTTTAAGTGACGTCCCCAGCATCACATAGGAATTCTTTGGCAAAGGCAGGAATAGAATCCAGTTCTTCGGGGCAGCATTCAACTGCCTTAACCATGAAATGATTCTTTCTTTTCTTGCAGTTCCCTTCCTCACTTACTGCACACCTTCCAATTTCTACAACAAATGAAGAAGGGGGTCCTACAGACCAGTGGTTCTCAACCTTTCCAGATCACTGTACCCCTTTCAGGAGTCTGTTTTGCCTCACATAACCCAAGTTTCACCTCATTGAAAAACTACTTGCTTACAAAATTAGACATAAAAATACAAAAGTGTCACGGCACACTATTACTGAAAAAGTGCGTACTTTCTCATTTTTACCATAGAATTATAAAATAAATTGATTGGAATATAAATATTGTACTTACATTTCAGTGTATAGTATATAAAGCAGTATAAAAGTCATTGTATGAAATTTTTATTTGTACTGACTTCGCTAGTGCTTTTTATGTAGCCTGGTGTAAAACTAGGCAAATTATCTAGATTAGTTGATGTACCGCCTGGTAGACCTCTGCATACCCCCCAGGGGTATGCGTACCCCTGGTTGAGAACCTCTGCTGTCGACCACAGCTTCCTTTTCTGTGCAGATTCAGTCCCTGAGCTTGGTTCATCCTGTGCACTGAAGGGAGGGTGGGGTACCTGTAAAAAACAAAACAATTCTCATCATGTAATTAAAGGCTATCATAATGCATACACACAAGGGGAGCAAATTAAGGTTTTACAGGCAATCACAATTCTATCATTTCCCATCTTTTGAGTACTTGATTTTAACATTCTTTTAAATGTAGCTTTTTGTATGTGATATTTTAAAGGAAAAACCCGAAAAAACAAATTTCATCACGTTGAACCATGTTTGATGAACCACGTGGAAGTCGAGTGTTGGGAACTTTATATCCACAGCACAGGCTTCTGCCTCTTGACATCAGGGACTAACTGATAGCAGTACTAGGTTTTCATTTTCTGCTGTTGACTGGCATGTCCTTGTCTGAGTCCCAGTCTTCTTCCTTACCCTCAGCTCCATGTCCCAGGTCTAACTGCTCACTTCTCTGCATTCTAGTCAAGCTAGTTCCTCCTCCTCCTCACTGCTTGGATGCCAACAGGGGAACATTGTGACCACAGGAATAACAGTCTTGGTTCCTGTGCCTGGTGTTACAGCAGTCCTTGGCTGCCAGGAGGAGGAAATGCGGTGAAAGTCCTGCTTAGTCCCTGCATGCTCAGTGTAAACAATCTTTGAGGTATCTGGCTGCCAAACTGACTCATAATTTGGCCAAATTTCTGCAGATTTTCACAGGGACAGCAAAAATTCACACCCTTGGCAACAGGACAGCCCTTTTGCCAAATTTCAAGTCCTTTCTCCAAAGCATGGAGGTGCTATAGCTTCTCAATAAAATGGTTGTAAAAATGTTTTAAAATGGGCAAATCAACATTTTTTCCCCATACTCCTGAGAAGTGTCAGAATTGTTTTTGTTGAAATTTTCAAAGAAACCTCAGCCTAAGGAAGACGCATGGCTTGGAAAATTTCAGCCCAAATGGTTAAAGTTTGGCAAAGTTATAAGCAAAAGAAAACAAGATCTTACAATGGAAAGTGTCAGGTATTGCTACCTATGCCAGGTATAAAGTACACACGTGCACAAACACTTTGCAGATGTATTCTGTATAAGTGTTATGCATGATGATGTGGCATAGAGTATAAAGGTTTTTAAAACATGCTGTGGTCATGTTGCTCATGAGTGTTGAATCCATGAGTGAATTATGCAGGTCATCCTAAATGAGTGCTAATAAATATTTTTTGCTATACCACACCAGCATGTATTTTGTATATGCTACATATTTTACAGGAAAACGGTCTTAGACATGTACTGTTTTTTCCATCACTTTGCCAGCAAAAACTAAACTCCCATAGTACCATGAGTCCAGCTGTACAAGCCTTAGAGGAAGAGAGAATCCCTCAACATTACCTAAAATAGATGTTTAGTACACAGTGTTTCCTCTTGGCTAAGCAGTAGTCAATTTTGGAACCTTGCAGCAGGTCGCTTTCAGTTGCTGGAGAGAAATTGATGTTGTGAAGTCAGGTATAGTATAACTTGTTTATTTACAATATCTACATGAGTCCTGTTATTCTTAAACTGAGATAGACCTAACTGTGTGAAGGCCGCTTTGTACGCCCATTCAGTGACCATGAACAGCCACAAGGAACAGCTGCTTTTGTGCATGTTCCTCCAGGTCTCCAGCTATCCTCCCAACTGCCATTGAGCTTCCCTTTCTGGCTGACCTGTCATGATCCAGTCAGGAGCCAGGAGAACAGCAGCAGATTCACCCTTAGTAAATTCATCACACTGCTCTGTGTTGACCGCACAGCACATTCATCACAATAATATTTTGATGTTAAGGTATGATATCTTAAGACCTACCAAAACTAAACATAAATGCTATTTGGAAAACTTGGTGGAGTATTCTCTTGACTGTGATGTCTAGCACTTTTGGGTTGCGACATACCCATCAAGGAAAGAATATTGGCCATCCTGGCCTTTGGGCCAGTGTAATCGTGTTGGGGAGGGGTGGAATTCCATATCTGGAGGGGGGGAAAGGGAATCAATTTTAAGACTGATTTTTTAAAAAAAGGAGGAGCAGGGAGGGGATAAAAAAGCACCTCTTTGAGCTGAAGGTTTGACACGCTGGCAGTCACGCTAGCTAGAGGACTAGTGGCTAAAGTGCTGGTCACTTGCTGCTAGTCTTGATTATCTGGAGGCATCTGACTTTAAAAATATATTCCATATGGAAAAGCTTTTTAGGTCATTTATACAGTTTTCTAAAATGCATTAGTTGTAATTTTCTTCTGCCTATAAAACCTGAAAAGTTGATTTATGATACTAAGGCAGCCTGGCTTTATAGATAAAGCAATATAAAATCCATTACTAATAATATTTAAAAACTCTCAAAAATGTTTCTAATTTTTTTGGTAGAATACATGTTGTTAGTGGTATGGTATAAAGGTTTTATAGGCACTCATTTGGGATGCTCAGCATAGCCTACTCATGGATCTGTGGCCTGCAGCTCATGCAGTTCATGGAATTTAAAACTTAATGCTGTGGTTCAGTATTCTGGTATTCTCTATGTTCTCGCTCTCATGTTTGTGTTTGTGTACACCATTCCCCCCTGATTACGTTTATCAGTCTGTTTTTTAACCAACCTGCTTTGCTTGTTTTAACTTTTGAAGCTGTGCTAACTTTTGGAATTTGTATTGGCGGGGAAAAAGTCTTATTAGTGGTCACCTGACATATGAGG